CTCTCTAACAACAAGTTTCAATACGTCTCAGAGCTCCTAAAAAACATGTCTGTGACGTTTCTTGTTCTAAATCCACTCTGATCCTGTATTTGATCATGTCTATAAACCCCTCTATTTCAGCCCTGCTCAGAACAGGCTGTTTCTGTGTCTGTACCTTTAAATGTAAATGAGCTGTGTCTGACCACGCCCTGTTTCTAGAAGGGGATGTGGCTCAGGCTTTCTCGCTCCATGTCCTTTGTTTACGGTGAGAAGGCAGACTCAGAGGGCAGAACAAACACCTACCTGTGGGAGTGACACCCACCTGGGGGAGGGGTTACTGCCCATTGTGATGTCATGAAGGGAAAATATCCAAACAGCCTGTTTGAGCACACATTTTCTGAAAAGTGGAGCAGGCAAAAGACGGAGAGGGACTTTTCTCATAATTGGGGGGAGGGGGTTTAGACAGACTATGCACACATATTAGTGTCAGAGGAACATGGTAAAGTGTATTTTGAATAACATGTGACCTTCAAGGCTCACAATGACTCAACACCAGACGTCACAACTATTAAAACAAAGAAAGCCAATATGACAAGTAGTATCACCCTCGAAGAGTAATGAAGAGAATCATCACATCATACCTGTGTGAGAGAGATTTTTCAGCAGTTGCCTCAATCCACACTAAATACAGATCAAAGCCGGACATTGAAAAGTAAATAAGAGTGGAAGTCTCACAGCTGCACCCCAGACCTCAGAAAATCTGTAGCACAAAAGAAGTCCACACTAATCATTGAAAGCAGCTATTCTCTGTTTGCAGACAATGTTTGAGATAAAGTCTAAAAACAAAAGATAAGTTTTAGATTCTGGATGTAATGTAAACTTTTAGACGTAAACAACAATAATGCATCATACTTAGTTTGTTGTTCATGTTATGACACAGAAACTTGAGTTACTCATCATCATTTATGAAAAACACAACAAAGAAAGACACTCAGTGAAAGGAGGTGTAACTTGTTTTATTAAAATAATTACTCGGGCTGTATATCAATAATTAATTTAGATTATTACCATGTTTCAAATTCCATTATTTCACATTTGAAAATAAAAAATGTTAGGCTTTTATTTTCAATTGTTTTGCTGCCTTAAGCTGAGAGAACTTACTGTTTGAATTTGCTTTTATTTTGAAATAAAATAAGGACTTTGTAGTACTGTAGATCAAAGGTTAGGTAAGAAAGGGTAACAAAATGTTTTAAGTCATAAGGTGGATATTACTTTGGACTCGTCAGCTGAGCTGTCTGAGAGTTTGTTAAAGTGAAAGGAGACGTTCAAGGACGCATCAGTGTCCTACTTTTACAGCACTGTGACTACAGGGAGACACTGCGGAGGCTGATCTACGGTGAGACTAAAGGGACAAAATAGCACGGGCACACACTAAAATATTTGTTAAATCTTAAATGAATACATGAAAAATAAAGGGAAAATATACAACACATTTTCTTGCTGTAAAAAAGAAGCAGAGATCTCTATTTTTCCTTCTATTAATAAACACCTCTTGCTTCTTTCTGTGTGCCTGCTTTTTGAAGAAGACCAACATGACCTCACCTCTCTTTGGCCTTTATGTGGGTCACCATGGAGGTCATGGTCTCTTCAGGCTGGAGGGACATTTCACATGCAGAGGACGAGGCTTCAGCAGCAGTCTGACCATGGGTTGGCAACGAGCATGAGGCAGTCCGAATGGTAGCCTGAAAGGACAAAAGACATGGCATCAAACCTTGGCCTCGTAATGCTGCTGCCAGTGTGTGGGGGTGGGTGGGTAAGTGGGTTGGGGGGGGTGGATTATTCAACTCCTATTAACATTGGATAACAAAATGTTGCTAAAAGGGTCACTCACCACTCCATTCTGTGTTTACTTCTCCTGAAATGTGTAAAAGGTGATCAAATGATGCTGCAGATGGTGGTCACCATAACTATCAAGTAAGCAGTAAAGAGGTGGAGCCTTCAGCCTCCTGGCGGACAGCTACAACGCACATGCCTGCAGTCATATCAGTCTAATTATGTATAACTCTTGTCCTTCATGAAAGAAAAACAGATTTTTTATTTTGTTTTTAAATTGCCACCCAGTGTGTGCTTATAAAGACATGAACTATTCAGACTAAATAGTTTTGGCACCAGGCTGTAAACATGTTCATTCCTGCTGTCAAAATTTGCATTTTAACATGAGGTGTGGATGTGACTTTGAGGTTCTTGGTGCCTGCCTCTAGTGGACACTCCAAGAAATGCATTTTTTTTTTTGCACTTCTGCTTCAACTCTGGAGGTTGCTTGTTTCTCAGCAATGACTTCTTCATGTTATCTCTGTTTTAAGGTTTTCCACTCTTTTCTGATGCTTACATTATATCTGCATGTGGATCTTTTCAATGGTCAGAATACAATTAATTCACTGTCTACTGTATAGTATCATTATATATCTATATTTTACCCACAAATAGACTTAGCCAAAGCTTTTTTTAGGCTGACACTCTCTGCCTGCTAAAAAGAAAAATCCAGTTAAAGCAAATCTTTACCTCTTGGAGATAGATGATCACTATGAACATTTTACTTGGATCATTTTGCCGTCCTGGTATGGTAGAATACATCTTTTGAATGTAAAAAATACACCAAGTCATAGCATGCGATGTTAAATACTTATATAAACATCTACATCTCTTGCATGTGTTTTCATGTTCAGCAGAAATGCGTGGTGCTTGAAGTGTTTTTGATACAATGAATCATGGGATGGAAATATCTTTCCTGTCAATGAGGTTTCTTTGTCAAAAGGGAGGTCTTATGTTTTTGTTTAATTTAATATATTCATACAGTTTTTTTTCTCATATTCTCCTCCGTTTCAACACCATTAAAGAAGTCTCAGAGCTGCCCAAAATATGTCTGTGAAGTTTCTTGGCAGACGTCATCTTAAATCACAAATGAAACACTGAAAAGTCAAAAACATGAGGCATGCATTAAAACAGGACGGCAGTACTGAACACCTAGCAAAGCACATAATGTACCTATAAAGCAAGACAACACAACACCAGACATATTTAGGTCTGAATAGTAGCTTCGTGTCTGTTAATTGTCTGCATGGAAGAAGAATTATAGTGAATATAAAACAGGAGTTTATTTAAGTCCGTATATGCAAGCCAGCATTTTTATAACCCTTAAAACAATGCAGATGGTGTGCCGACATTGTTTTTGTTACTGTTTTCTTTAAGAAGCTTCAAATGTTTCATGTCTGCACAAACCTCATGCTGTCACTTTATTTTGGATTATTTCAAATGATTACACAAAAACAAAAGAGAGGAGAGAAAATAGTTTTGATATTTTTGCAGCTTTTCTACAAATACAGGAAGCCTTTTATTTTAATCTTTTTAAATAATATTTACAACACCCACAACAGATTCATTTTAATAAGGTTGGACGCTACATTTCGTGTTAACAGTGAGAGACACAGGCCCAGAAAAACATGTATAACATGGTTTTGATATACTTATAAATAAATAAATAAAGTGTCAGATGATGAATCTGGAAAGCCCTTTTGGCCATTCTGCATGCACATTTGAGGCAGTAACTCAGATTCATCATGAGGATAAAACTACAGCTGTGCAGAATGAGTCAAGCTTTCTCCTGCACTGCATGACAAATTTCACAAAATAGATGAAAAGTCAAACTTTCCGAGTGAGTTGATGTTGCACAAGAACTCATCAGTGCCTCAGTGTTCCTCCTAAACTCACGATCATTCCACCCTGTTTCACTTTGCAATGTGTTCATTGTCTGTGACTGCATTTGACACACTGTGAAAATGTTTTGTCGCTTTAAATTATTCTTATATTTTTGATGTTAGCTCTGACTTGGCTGGTTTGCCTCTGATTTTGAAGTAAACTTTGGAGTGAAGGACTCCGGCTGCAGATAGAGCAGGTGCAGTATAAAAATGGGTTAGATCAGTGGTGTCCAACCTTTGACTTCACAAAACTCTGGCAACCCCACACATCCAAAACAAATTTAGCTTTTTCCTCAAATTACCATGTAATAGTTTCTCTACTGTGTTGTAAGTAAACATTATTTTTTATTGCGGACAGAGGAAGAAAGGCTGGGATGACATTTCTGCACAATGGAAGACAGACAGACGCAGATTCTGCAGGTTTCTTGTTTTGAAATTGGCTATGGCCCACAGTAGCCTGTGTTCTATATATTTAGATATACAATGTATTTTGTGTATTTGGCAACACCAAGGTTGGGAAAGCCTGGGTTAAGGGGTTATTCTGACAAAAAGGATTCAGAGGACTTAAACCGAAATTGTAATTAAAATTAAAATAAAACAAAAAAAGTCATCTTTAAAGTTTTTTTTTTTTTTTAAACTCTGTCAGTTAGACCTTTTTTTCATTCTTTCTTTCTCCAGAAGCTAAACTAAAAAATTTATTTCTTCCAAGCTTTGAACCCTCCCAAAAAATTCTGTCCCAAAAACCTGCAGTAAATATAATATCGTGTTTAAAACCTTTGAATGTGTAGATATTTGTGTTGACATGCAAAGGGCAATACACTAGATGTTTCCACTGGGTTTAAAAAAAATGCACAACACAGTACAAAAAGAGGGAAAGTCCACGTGCAGATGAGAGGGGGAGTAAACGAGAAGAAGGAGGTTACAGAGGGTTTGCTCTTAATCTGACGTCAGCTTAAAAGATAAGCAGTGGAGCTTTTAATTTGAACTTCACTCTTAGTCACTTTGTAGAGAGTTATCGAGCTGCGGCGATCGAGCGTCATTACGCACGGCCCTGAGCAGCTGGAGGGGAAAGAACTGAGGAGTGAGCTTTACCAGAAACAACTTTGTTCACCTCCCTCACTTTCTGCACCGAGTCCGGACCGGTCCATGGATCAGAGAGGTTAACAATGAAGGAAGCGACCGGGACCTTCGACGGAGGGCTGCGCGTCATGCAGAGCAGTGTGGAATAAACTGCCCGCCGGTCATATGCACGCTCAAAGAGAGATAATGGGAGTGGCAAGTGTGGACCTGCTCGTGACACTCCAGATTTTACCTGGCTTCTTCTCAAACTGTCTGTTCCTCGCGCTGTACGACTCCGTGGTGCTCGTGAAGCGCGCCGTGTCGCTGCTCAGCTGCTCCCGGTCCACGGGCTCACCAGAGTGGCGCCGCATGCTCACCTCCGAGGGGCTGCGCTCCATCTGGAACGGCTTCCTGCTGGACGCATACAAGCAGGTAACGTGGAGACATAATAAGACATCCTAACGCGCACTGTCATCAATCTGAACTCGGTTTATTTCCTTAGTGGATATTGTATGTTTTTGTTTATTATGTTATGTTCTTTTCTTACGTACATGCTTGGGCCAATGGGAGAACAGCATTTTGTCTCGTTTATGTGTACAGATAATGTCATGATTTGGTTTTGTATTTGAGTTTGCCGTTTTATCCCGGTGTTGCTTGTTTCCCTTGTGTGTTAATGTTTCCTAGTGTTGATGGTTTCCTAGTTTTGTCTTGTGTTTTCTGTTTTATTCTTCAAGGTTCGAGAAAAACTAAGAGGAGGACCCAGATGCAGATCTAACAAAAAATGATTTATTCAAAATAAAGATCAAAAGTCCACAACAAAACTTACGAACAAAATCCAACACGAAAAAACAAGGAGCCACAAGGAAGCACAAGGAGACACTAGTAAACTGACAATCGACATACACTGGTGTCTCCTTGTGCTTCCTTGTGGCTCCTTTTTTTTTTTTTTTTTGGAAACAAGCAACACTGGGATAAAACGGGAAACTCAAATAAAAAACCAAATCATGACAGATAGGCTACATAAAGATAAACTTCAAATAAACGAAATATTGAATCTGCTTATTATCACAGATAATATAGTTTCAGTTCTATAAGGCTGTGAGGACAAAGAGTCCCATTCTGTTCTCTTTGATCACCTTTCAAGATTTTTCTAAAAATGTACTTTAAATATTATAATACTTCTTGTTAATTCTGATTATTTCAGAATTTGAATTTTTTGTGATTTTTTTTAAGTGAATGATCACATTGTAAAACTACAACTTTGGGATTTTATCTTTGGAGGTAATTGTTTTTTTTCTCTCAACTTCACATGTAGCCTTTTTGATATGTTCAACTACAATTTGCTTTTTTACCTTTCATCTTCAGCACAGTTTTTTTTTTCAAATATCTAATTTCAATCAATTCATATCTTTCATAATTTCTAAATATCTTTTTTCTTGATAGAATTGAAATATTAAGTCAAGAAAAGTGGACACATTTGTTTTCTTTTTACAGAAGTAAATACCATCAAGTTTCAAAGTCAGTGGTTCATTTCCAGATCTCACCTTGGCTTTTAAGCATCTTTACTTCTTTACTTAACTATAAGCAAAGTGACTAGTTTTGTTCTTCTTCTTGTAATGGTACAAGCTAGTTGAGTGTTTTATTTTGAAATTTGTAGCACTGAAAGAATTCATTGAGTGAAGCAATCACTTTAAACTGTAACTTTGAACATTTATGCTGATCACAACTGTAAAGACAGAGACAATATGTCTTTTAACAGACTGAGAGCCCACAGTGCATCTCTTTGATTACGGCTTTGCTCAGATAAACACTGATTCCTGTTTTTACCTCCTCAGGTGAAACTTGGCTGCAATGCACCAAACTCCAAACTGGTGAAGGTGCCTGATGTTTCTCACTGGAGCGGCAGTCTCGGTAACATGACGAATATGCCGCAGGGATCTAGGACCCGAAATGAAGAAGAATGTCACCTTCTGGATTTTGAGTCATCGGATCGCCCCCTGGTGGTCAACTTCGGCTCAGCCACCTGACCCCCCTTCGTCAGCCACCTGCCAGCTTTCCGGCAGTTGGTGGAGGACTTCAGCGACGTGGCTGATTTCCTGTTGGTGTACATTGACGAGGCCCACCCGTCTGATGGCTGGGTGGCCCCTCCCATGGGCTCCTGCTCCTTTAACGTCCGGAAACATCAGAACCTGGAGGAGAGGCTGGGGGCGGCACGCAATCTCATCGAGCACTTTTCCCTGCCGCCACAGTGTCAGCTGGTGGCCGACAGCATGGACAACAATGCTAATGTTGCTTACGGCGTGTCGAATGAACGGGTGTGTATAGTGCAACAGAGAAAGATCGCCTACCTGGGGGGTAAGGGTCCTTTTTTTTACAATCTGAAGGATGTGCGGCAGTGGCTGGAACAGAGTTACGGTAAACAGTAAGAGGGACAAGGGAAGAGGATAAGGACAGTTTTTTTTTTTTGACAATTTTCCAACTGAAGAAGATTTCCCTCCTTTGAATGAGCATAAAAGGCTAAATCAACAGCTGTGTTGTAGACTTGATGAAAAGGTAACTAAAAACATTTGACCAAGTACAGTACCGAAGCACAAATTCACAGCTTGTACTCATTTTTGACTATTTTGTTCTGCATTCTTCTTCTTAGCAATAATTCCTCGGGAAATACTATGTATTTTCCATTGCTTTTCATTTATTCGATTCCTTTGGGTAGGCTACATGTTTTTAATTCAAACCATCCTGTACTTTTACTGATAAGGTTGGGACTTGTTTTATTCCAAACAAATACATGAGTGAAAACCAAGCCCATAGCCAACATTTAGCCCTACCTTTACGAGCTTAAACATTAGAGAGATGTACATGCTACAATGGAGCTACCACCACATCCAACCCTGTTTTTTCTGGCATGTCACCACTTCCCCCCTGGGCGTCCATTTTCCTCTGACACCGTGCTCAGGGCAGGAATTATAATATAATGTCATATCACTGTGTTCCAGGTTTTAAAAAGCTTATTACCACAGGACATCTGACTAATTCTTATCATAGAGCCAGTTCTTTATTGAATAGCAGAAAAACCCACAATGGAAATTACAAATCTGGGTCATGTTCAAAGGTCAAACGTTGCACTTGATATCCTACTATAGCCCCCATTTGGCACAAGCGAACGTTAGCATTTAGTCCCTTCTTACCTAACATTTAGGTTTTTTTGTCATTTGGGCAACATGTGTCTAGCTTACCACACTGTTAGCTTGGAAGTTTCTGCATGCTAAAACATTCCCTGCTGTTTTACAGTATAGTGTCCCTTCAGATTTTCAATAAACATTGGGGTGTTTTTGTCGGCAATATTTCTTCACGGCTTGGTCCGAAATCACACTCTCATTCCCATCTCCCTTCTACCTACCAGAGTTCTCTGTAGTTGATAATGAACTTATCGGCACAATTAAAAAAAAAATATTTCCGACTCTACTCTATGTCTTGCCAGACGCCAAAAATTAAGTCATGCTGTTGCAAAACTCAAAAGCAATGAATACCAACGTTATTAAGTTGAAATTCATTTAGTCATAATTTTTAAAGGAGCTTAAAGATTTTTTTTAAACAACACCAAATATGAACTGTTCTGTGTTGTTGTGTTCACGCTGGTCGTGCGCTTCCCAACCATCTGCCTTGGATGAAAACATTCAAACATCACTTTAATCTTGTTAAAGCTTTGCACACGGCAATGCATGAAGGTATAAATTGCTTGGTCTGTGACCATTGGTTATACACTGCCTTTCACAACGCATTATGGGATCCAATGAGTCCACTTCATAGGGTATGCATTATAATCTTCACTCGTAACTTCAACAACAACACTAAATGGCAAATGCCGTATTGCACTATATGGCGAGTAGTGTGTGATTTCGGACACGGCCCATAATCTCATATTGCACCTTTTTAAGCCATTTTTTTTATTTGGGACTTTCAAAATGTATTTGAGTTTTTCTACACTGTAATATTGTTATTTTTTCTTAGAGTTTCTATGAAATCCATGCAAGGAATTTAGGATGTTCTAAAATAAATTAAGACATTAGGCTATAGTCATCTAAACACCAGTATCTGTCTAAACAAATAAATAAATAAAAGAAAGAAACACAGGATCTACAAGCTAACTAGCCGTTACGGTTTAAAGTATCACGTGTAGTTCTGTTTGCTGCTTCACAAACCACTAGGTATACGCTTCAAGTCCCTCCCTGGCTTCCTACTCTTACAGAATACAAGATACTAAACAGAACCAAAAGGCACTTTGTTAGCATTAGAGAAAAGTCTGAATATTAACCCCCACCCCCGATTTTTGGGATATCATCTACCCAAAAAGCTGTAAAAACCTTTGAAATCAGGTCAACATTTGGCATGCGGGACCATTCATGAGACGAGCATGTGACCTCGGCTGATCGCCACCGTTAAAAAGGCAGCAGGCAGATTGGGGGCGACATATGAAGTGAGACGTGCTTCATCTGTATTTCAGCCTGCTTTTACAAATATGAGGTTTTTGTAATTGCCGTTGAAAATGTATAGCCAAAAAACTGAAAGAGGGATGAAATACTTTGATCAACTTAATATATTTATAGATTTATACCTTTTAAACAATGTTGACAAATACTTGTATTGGTGGTCCCAACCATACCTATTCCTCTATAGATCAACAGTTTTACATATTGAAAGTTTTTTCTTTCCACATAGTGCCTTTAAACAGATTGACCTGCTTAGAAGTTAACAGAATTGACTTCACGTAGATTTAATGTGGCTGTTTTGAAAAGTAATCAACAGATGACCCTGCACTGAAAAGTAAAATCATATCTTTACAATGATTTCCCTGTCTGAAGTACTCACCTCCGAACAGTCAGTAATTACTTAATGCACACTTGGGAGCATCCATATCAAACTGAAAAATGCCATTCAAATGTTCAGTTTTAAGGCCTGTGTCCGATTGACGCCATGTTTAGTACTGGCAGTGCCCATTTATACAAAACCATCACAGTTCAGTGTTTTCAGCACTCAATGCCCTAAATGTAAAAACATCCTTAGCATCATCCTTTAATTTCTCGGTGTTGAAAAAAGTTCATCTTTTGGGTACTTGTTTGGGGTCAGTGTTACTTGTCTGTCATCAACCAATCAAATTCAAAAAGGGTCAGGACTTCTGATATCACCTTTGTCAACAACAATGGTGGAGGATAAACTAATCTGACTCGTGTTCCTAAGGGTTCCAGATCTAGAGATGCTGATGGTGCTGGGACACAACTCCTTTACATTTTTATTTTTTCTGGGTGAAATGAATCTGAATAAGAGCAAATATTAAGCATACTAAAAATGTACAAAGACCTTAACTTCACTAGAGAGGGACTTTAGGAACCTAGCGACAGTAAGCATTGGTGAAAAGTGTTTTGAAATTCGGGTGCTGGGCACTACCACAGGCCCTTAATGTTCAGTATCAATGTCATAAATGCCATGCTATACAAAAAATTAACATTCTCACTTTGACTAAGCAGCGTATTAAGTTGGATTAAGCTTTTATTCCCCAAATTCACTTCACAAAATTGGTCTACTCTGTCAGGATGTATGGAGATCACGAGGCCATGTTCTTTCTAAAGCCCAGCTAAAAATTCCTAACTGGATCTGGTGTCTGACTGAGCGGCTCCAGGAGTTTAATATTTTATTCACTGCGTACCTTGGCTCATTGTTCTGCTGGAAATAATATTTTCTTTTGAGGGTCAGGTGTCGTGCAGACTGCCATAGAAGAGTGAACACCTCAGTATGACCCTGTATCTGTATGCTTCACAGTGGGGGAAGTGTTTGATTATGTTTTCAGTGTTTGGCTTACAGCAGACATGAGGCCTGTGTTGTAAAAGTGAGTAAATTTGTAAATTTCCCCATTGTGTGATAAATAAAGGATTACCTTATCTTATCTTGTCTTATCTTAAAGGTTTGACCTGGAGCAGTTAGTAATTCGGACAACAATTCAACCAGTATTAAACCAGCAGTTTTTTTTTCTGCAAACACAGGCCCTTGCATGTGAGCCGGACACTGAATAAAAGTGCATTTCATTCATACTAATTTATATATTCATATTTTAATGCAGTCATTAATGGGAACAAATTCATGGATTCATCTCTGGGTTGATTGTATGACTCGATAACCAGCGTCTTGTGAAAGCTGTTTACTTTTGTTAGGTGTTAGGTTCAGTGAAGATTAAAGATGGACTTTTGAAGAATGGATGATGCCAGTGGTTGTGAGCTCGGCAACAAGAATTTGTTTTATGAAGGATAGTGTGATTAAGAAAATGTGGGATTTTGAGGAAGGAGAAGGCAATGAAGAAGGGGATTGTCTGAACAGGCTGCATTTAGTATGTAAGTTTGGGTTGTGATTTGAAATGATGCTACTTCAGTCATGTGCAGTGTACCTTAGCTAATGCTAGCTACAGCTGGCAGGCAGCTGTTAGCTAGCAGGAGTTGTGTATCGCTGCTTTAAAGTAACACTTGATGAATCTGCTTTTCCATAACCAACTTCAGTCAGTGTTTGTTTTCGAAGATGAAGTAGTTTGTAAATTCAAAGATGCTGTTGGTGGTAATTTGGATTGGTTGTGGTTGTTGTATAGTGTTTGTATGTTTGATCTTGAGTTCGTCCATCTAAATGTACAGAATTAACCATGCTTGCAGTTGTACATGAGGTAACAATAATGTTCATTTCAATTCGACACCTGATTGAATCCTGTTTTTGCTGTTGTTTTTTGTATGAATGGTGAGGCCATATGGATAATCTGCACATTATTTGCTACAATTATGATGTTCTACTTGTTATTTCAGAGGCTGGGCTGTTATAGAGTCATAACAGATGCATTTGTCATGTAGCCTTTAAAGCCTACAAACTGAGGTTTAATATAATAAAGAAGTGGAAGTCGTGATGTGCATGATAACACGGGCAGCTGAAATAAGATAGATAGTCATATTTGTGGAAAAGTTTTGGTTATTGGCCAAAAGTGCAAGGATGTCAAACATCGGAAGATTGAATTTTTAGGATGGGTTTGACACTTTGAAACGACAGATGAATATCGCTTAACTTTAAAAAAAAAAAAACTTAACCAAAAACACTTCCATTTTCAGTGGATTGCTCTCATTTAATTGGGCCTGACTTGTGATCTCCATTTGACTGATAATGTGACCTAAAAATGATTTGGTGGCAGTACTCATGATTTAGAGTTTGTCAAATTAAAGGAGGTGAATACTTGGACAAAGTTATTTATTTATAAGTCGATTTTGTAGCCTTCATTTTTCATTTTGAATCTAGATTTTCAATGTCAAAACAGCCACATTGGACGCCAGTTAGCCTCGCGGAAATGTTGCACGATCAATGTACAGAGGCTGTAGTCCTCATGTCAGGGGCCGCAGGTCCG